CTACTACTACTACTACTACTACTACTACTACTACTACTACTGCTATTACTATTACTACTTTATTTAGCACATATCCACGCTCTACAACACGCTGTATGTCCTTTACAACTGTTATTATCCCAGCAGAACCAAGAACACTCAGAAACATTCTCAGCTCCCAAGGAAGCATGCAGAGCAAGCTGCGGATTGCACGCTCTCAAGCACTTATAAGCTGACACTATCTTAGGCTGTCTATAGCTGGGTAACCAATGCCACCTAAGTGAAGTGAAGAAAATTCATGTAAAGTGCCTTTTCCAAGGACACATCGTCGAGCCCCTGACGGGATTCGAACCCAGAACCTTACGGTTGAGAGTCAGGGAGCCTAATTACTAGACCGCCGATGCCTACATAGGGCGTGCCAGTTCGACGGAGGAGGAAAACTGCTTCTTTCCTTACTATGAACGACATTTAGATACCATAGGCCACAGTTCGTAGCTCAACAAATTCTTAATCTCTTCCACTCTGGAATCTTTAAACTTTCATAGTTTACTCTTCCACGCTCCACTTCTTTATTATTTGAACTGTGTAACACATTTGCATTTCTTTAAAACTGTAAAAGAACGTATACCTGTGGTGATTACAGTAAGACAGGAAAAGCACTTGTCGCTGAATGACTCCATCATAGTGAATGAAATGGTGTTGTAGGGAAAGAGTTAATGATGACAGAATTAACACTCCCCTCTCAACGACTTCAAACTCTATCACGATTCTGTCATATCAAATTCGGGGGCCCCAATGGCTAAATGAGTAGTAAGTTCCAACTCAAAGTTATGTCAAGTAAGTTTTGGTGACATGGGGTTTAGATTTGTGGTCACTGGGGTGTCCCGTTGAGCAAAAACACGATACTTACTTTCTGTTGCCGTTAAGCGTCGAGGAGAGAGGCCAGCTCCGCAGCTCTTTCTGTTGTGATGTTATGTTTTCTAAGAGTTTCCTTGACACCCTCGATCCACCTTTTGCGTGGCCTTCCTCTTCCTTTATAGTATGAGTGCTTGGTGTTGTGGGCTCTCGAGGCTGGCTGGTCAGGTGACATGCGTAACAGGTGGCCAAACCATTTTATCCTTTGTCTTTCTATGTAACGCAGGTAGAACTCAGTACCGATAGCTTCTCTTACTTCTTCATTTCTCTGCCTGTCTCGTTTGTGATGTTAAGGGTTATGCGGAGACTTCATTTCGCATGTGGTGATTTTGCTTTCATCGGTTTTGCTTAAGGTCCAGGTCTGGCACTGATAACATAATGTTGGTATGAATATTGGGGTGATAAGCTATCTCTTTGTGTCCATGGAGATGTTTGAATGAGATAGGAGGGGTGCGAGCTGGTAGGTGACAGCGTTGGCTTTTTGAGTTTGCATCTATATTTCTCTGTCTATGGACCCGTCTTCAGAAAAAGTGCTGCCAAGATATCATGGATGTTCATGGGACTATGGTTTCGGCTCACTTTCTTAACTTCTGTTTTTGATGTGCTTATTTTCATGTTGAATTTCTCACAGGTGTTGTTGAGTTCGGTAGTGTGATTTTGGAGGCTTTGTTGGTCATGATGAATAAGACATTGGTCGTCTGCGAACAGAAATTCATTTAGGCTTTCTGGGCTTTGGTTTGCGTCTTGCGTTATTGTGTCCATACAATCGGAACCCAAAAGCTCAGATTTCTCTCTACAATAGGTCTTATGCGCTGCTCTAATGTCTTTGCATATATTTTTCCTGAGTGGCTTACCAATGAGATGCCTCTATATGTTGTGCAGTCGAGTTTGTTGCCTCCCCCCCCCCCCCATAATGGTACCACAATGGCTTTCTGCCAGTCTTCTGGGCATTTTCTTTGTTCCCAGGCTCTGTTGTAAATTCGCTACAGCCACAGTGATAAACACGATAACCCACGCTAAAACAAAATAGGGCGCTGCACAGAGTTGATCAGTAATGGCATGTTTGTGAAATTGTTCTCTTTTGGTGTAATATTGAGTATTTAGGTATGTATTTATGTATTTATACATTTCTAATTATGTATTTATGTATGTAATTCTAATTATGTATTTATGTATGTAATTCAAAGTATGTATTTATGTATGTATGTAATTCTAATTACGTATTTATGTGTGTATGTAATTCTTATTACGTATTTATGTGTGTATGTAATTCTATGTATGTATGTATGTATGTATGTATGTATGTATGTATGTATGTATGTATGTATGTATGTATGTATGTATGTATGTATGTATGTATGTATGTATGTATGTATGTATGTATGTATGTATGTATGTATGTATGTATGTATGTATGTATGTATGTATGTATGTATGTATGTATGTATGTATGTATGTATGTATGTATGTATGTATGTATGTATGTATGTATGTATGTATGTATGTATGTATGTATGTATGTATGTATGTATGTATGTATGTATGTATGTAGGTAGGTAGGTAGGTAGGTAGGTAGGTAGGTAGGTAGGTAGGTAGGTAGGTAGGTAGGTAGGTAGGTAGGTAGGTAGGTAGGTAGGTAGGTAGGTAGGTAGGTAGGTAGGTAGGTAGGTAGGTAGGTAGGTAGGTAGGTAGGTAGGTAGGTAAGTAGGTAAGTAGGTATGTAGGTAGGTAAGTATGTAGGTAGGTCGGTAGGTAGGGGAGGTAGGTCGGTAGGTAGGTCGGTAGATATGTAGGTAGGTAGGTAGGTAGGTAGGTAGGTATGTAGGAAAGTAGGTATGCGGGTAGGTATGTATGTAGGCAGGCCGGCAGGCAGGCAGGTAGGTAGGTAGGTAGGTTGGTACGTAGGTAGGTAGGTAAGTAAGTAGGTAGGTAAGTAGGTAGGTAAGTAGGTATGTATGTATGTATGTATGTATGTATGTATGTATGTATGTATGTATGTATGTATGTATGTATGTATGTATGTATGTATGTATGTATGTATGTATGTATGTATGTATGTATGTATGTATGTATGTATGTATGCCATTGTGATTTCAAATTTCCCCACAGGGATCAATCAAATGTTATTCGTTTGTTATTTATTACCATCTAGCCTACCTTGAGCTGAGTCCTTGAGCTGGAAAAACCCAATGAAACCTTGGCTTCTGAAATGTGGCAGAACTGTAAACTCAATGATCAATGATTTCCCCACTGAACCATTGGTTGAATGGGAAGAGATTTTGTAGCCGTTAAGTCTGTTTAGATGAACTCTGGTACCTGTAAGGATAAGATAAAAAAGGGAACAATAAACGTATTTAAAACGAAATTTAACAGCATTTACAAGACTCTAATGGTAGTTGTCAGTATCTATTTTTGTATGCCATATTCGCAAACTACAAATTATGGCACAAAGTATAGGAATAAGGCTTATAGCAAATAGTAACTATCATTCAACACAAAATGCTGGCGCCAGCAAAATAAGTCACAAGAAAACACACTGGTATGTAAGATATTTTTGTTTGAAAATAAACATTCACGTTGTAGATCTATTCTGAACCATTAATCTCAAACTCAAGACCCATACTATAACTCTGTGTTTAGAATTTCTGTTTTTACTCTTTTCGTCCCTTTGAAAACTTAAATGTGTAAACACAAACTCGTCTCCTCTAACCGTCAGTCTCAGAAATCCCAGGATAAAAGTTATGGACTCTAGCCTCCTGCCTTTTGTTATCAAGTTCATAACAAAATTAAAACGTGGGGGTGTTGTTCTCGTGGTCTAGAGTTTAAAGTGTTTGCCTCTCATTCAATATGCCCCGGGTTCGAATCCAGAATCTAAAATGTTCTTCTTTCCCATACTTTCTTGCCTTCTAACAATATTCTATCGTCTGTTTGTCTTCACTTTCTGCCCCCACCCCCTCACCCCCTTTGCCCCCTCATCTGGGCTCCTGGCTCCTTTTGCAGCCTTTCTCCTTCTTACTGCCACAACCTTGACCTTATGGTAGGTAAGATCTAACACACCTAACCTTCTCGGATAAGGGCGAAAAATGGCGGGGGTCACGTGTGCAAGTTGCGAACATGAAATATCCCTTGGTGGTCCAAAATCGATAAAAGTAGGCCTGGGCCGCCACCCGAGCAAAATTCAAAGTTAATTCTTACCAGACTGAAAATGCTCAACGAGTCCTGCGCGCTCAAATGACCTTATGCAGTAGCGAGCGCCGTAAAGAAAACTGGAAAAGTTAATGCATAAACACCCTCCCTCCAACAATCAGTCCCAGAAATTCCAGTAAAAACCTTATAGACCCTGGCCTCATGACATAAGTAATGAAATTCCAAACAAAATTATAACGTACCAAAATATCAGGATACATGGAGCTCCACTGCAAAAAATGTGACACCATTACCACCCCAGCTTACATAGATTACCGTGTATGCATACCTTGTATAAAAGGGATCTCATATTCCTCCATAGAAATTTGGACACCTGGGCACGACTCGTAAAGAAAACCAATGCGAAATTCGGTCGTGTCTAGTTGAAAGTTGATGTACTTGCTGCTGTCAGTGTTGCGAATAACCCATGTCTCACACGACCTTCAAAGCATGCAGTATCAGAATATCATTAGATTACAATCAGAATAATGATTATGCATATAACATAACACTATTATTTATTGGTAATAATTATAGTTCATTTGTATTTTGCTTGTGATTGTGAGCCTGTTTGTGAGTGCAAGCATACTGTTTTTCTTTATTGCTATGTACAGGTGTGTGTGTGGAGGAGATGACGTATGAGTGTGTGTGTGTGTGTGTGTGTGTGTGTGTGTGTGTGTGTGTGTGTGTGTGGGTGTGTGTGTAGGTGTGTACGTGGTGAAATACCAAACCAATGTGCCAGAATCTGGACAATAAAGACTTATCTTATCTTATTATTTTATCTTGTATCACCGCTGAGCTGAGCGGTCAAAGTTTGTTGGTTTGAGCAATGAGAAACAAATTGACATAATAATATTGGTGTTTAGTGTAAGCAAAATAATTTGTTAAGACTTACCGACGGAAACAGCAGGTGGAAAGAAAAGAAATATGACCTACAATGACGCCCTGCTACCACCAGTTAAGCGCAATTGACAAAATGAAAATGAAACTAACGATAATCCCGATACATATTGGCATCAGTTTATTAATTTACAAGCACATTTCTATGTCTGCCTGAGAAAAGGATCCATATGTCCAGTTTAAAAAATATTTTAGTTTATTGCATTTCAGCAAAGAATGACGTTTTCTGATGAAAATGTTTTTAAATATTTTTTCGGATATCTCAAATAGGTTTTGAGATAAGGCCGTTTTTGTGATCGAGGGGCCTACCAACTACATAATTTGAAAAAAAAATAACTTTAACGTTTTTCGTACAGGGTGATCCCCCCAAAAAAGTGTACAACTTTTATTCTGAATATCTCGCACAAAAATTGTCCGAGAATGCTTTAATTTGGAACAGACATTATTCATTCAAAAGCAATTTGTTTCACATAAAATTCACGAAAAAGAAACTTATTTTGGAAAAGGAAATGGCTTGAAGAAAAAAACACCCCAAAATGCAAAGTTCACCAATTTAAATAAATCTTGTCAAGGAAGTCGTGAAAAAATTGGTTGACCTTTTTCTTTACTTTCTCTTTGTTTTTAAACAATATTTAATTTATTTTACAGAGTAAACAAAACAAAACGATTTGTTTCTGAAATTCCTAGAAGCAGTGCTCTCCTTTGGACTCGACACATTTGTCGTTCGAAATGTTCAATGGCGCCCAAACACAAGGACCTGCTAAACTATGATGAGTGTTTAAAGCCATATACACTGTACATATTCAGTATGAAACTGGCTTCTAGAGACAATAGGGAGTGGAATGCCCAATAGACAGAATTTTTGGAGTTAACATATCTCGCAGGGTAAAAGTGGGCTTTGCACTAAACCAAATGTCATCGAGGAAATGATCCTGCTTTTCAAGACAATCGAGAAATCATGAAGACATTGCCATGCTCTGATCTAAGCCATCTCGGCCTAGCGAAAATGGAAATGGCACATGCAGTCGTAGGTTCAGATCTGCCAATAGAATGCAGACTGTTGAGGTGTACGAAATTCCTAGCTGCAGATCGTCTACGGACCGACGTCTCATGGGACTCAACTACTGAAATCTGCACCCTGATGACGTTTAAAGGGCTGGGCATGGTACGTGTTCGATTTGAAGGGGTCATTTTCAAAGAACTTTTCAGTTCTGATTCGCTATAGATCCAAACTGACGGAACTTCTCTACTCATGAAGCCAAAGGACTTAATATGGTAACCTAAACATTTTCTCCATGCCGTGCTCAGAACTTATGACAGGTCAAAGATGGTGAGTTTGCGGAGAGGTAATGTTCAATACAAAAAGCTCTCTGCTCTTTACTAAACGTAACCATGATCTCGGTAGGCAAACGAAATTTAAAAAGAATAATATCTGCAGACTTCTGTTGACTTGTTAGACTGCTATAGCTTGCAATATGGCGCGATTGTTGCAACTTTTAGGGGTGGGCCAATGCAAACTGGTGCGTCATGCCATGAAAATGGCGACAGGTTGAAAATGGGTTGTTTTTGTTAATGCACCATATAGAGCAAAACCATTCAATGGACTTGTCTAAACTGAATATCAGACAAATTCCATTTGGCTTCCAAATGTTATGTTCAAAACGCAAAAATTCAGTATGGAGGAAGACATTTACAAAACAAGTTGTACAGTTTTTTATGATCACCCTGTATATTAAATCAAGATTTCTGGAAACCCCCGATATCTGGGTGAGCCCGCTTGTCTTTAAAAGCGACCAATTAAACTCCCATTTTCTGCACGCAACAGCGAAGAACCTAACTGCGACACCACAGACGCCACTGTCTCTTCAGAGAAAATCATGACTTAAAGAGACTGGAAAACACACACACACACACACACACACACACACACACACACACACACACACACATACACACACACATACACACACACACACACACACACACACACACACACGCACACACATGCACATAGACAAACACACACACACACGCGCACGCACGCACGAACATCAGTCTTACTTTCCAGAATCAGAAGGGTAATAGTCCATCTTTTGGCGCCTGTCTCGGGCATATACAAAACGTCTCTGGGTACACGGATCTGGAACAAAACAAGATATTGGGAGATTAACTCCTTCCACATTCATACGACAACATGCATGCACACATACACGAATGTTCACTCGTGCTCTCGTATAAACATATACACATCCGTATACAAACACACATCCACACACATACATCTATTTTAACACACACACACAGACACACACACACACACACACACACACACACACACATACACACACACATACACACACACACACACACACACACACACACACACGCACACACATGCACATAGACAAACACACACACACACGCGCACGCACGCACGAACATCAGTCTTACTTTCCAGAATCAGAAGGGTAATAGTCCATCTTTTGGCGCCTGTCTCGGGCATATACAAAACGTCTCTGGGTACACGGATCTGGAACAAAACAAGATATTGGGAGATTAACTCCTTCCACATTCATACGACAACATGCATGCACACATACACGAATGTTCACTCGTGCTCTCGTATAAACATATACACATCCGTATACAAACACACATCCACACACATACATCTATTTTAACACACACACACAGACACACACACACACACACACACACACACACACACATACACACACGCACACACACAGACAAACACATACGTGCTAACACATACACTCAAACAAGCATAATATATACACACTAACGTACATACCCATATCAATGCATCTATACACATATGCAAATATACACACATACACTGTGACTTACAATCACACACACACACACCAATACACACATACACATACACACACAAACACACATACATACACACATCCGACCACACATACACACACACACACACACACACACACACACACACACACACACACATCCAGGCATAAAAGTGGACAACGTTATACTAGCCATGTCTGGGCACTGCTTTTTTTTGGTGTTATGTGATATAGATTTTTCAGCATACATTTATTATTTTAAATTTAAGCATTTAAGCTTCCTTTTCACAGATTTTTCAGATTTCTCAGAAAGTAATTGAGTGGATAAAAAAAAAAAAGAAAATGTTCTGTTTTTAGTACTGGTACCACATACATTTGAGCTAAATAACAATGGGTAACGGGACTAGAGCCCACGTTAGAGCAAAACACACGAAAATAGCAGTTCACAATATCAAATTATTCGACTATGAAATGCTACTTTTTAAAGGAACGTATCAAAATTAACAGTTGGCAAATTTACTAGTAAAACCAAATTGGATTTTGAAATGCGTGGTTCTTCAATTAATTATTAACCACTAAAACTTTCTATAATGAAACTACAAACGCTTTAACTTACCTCGAGGAACAGCGGTAAGGGTAAAGTTATAAACAATGTCCATACTTGTGCTAATTTCGGTATGCAGTCTAATTACTATCACATTTCCCAAGCTGGTGACGCTGGTTTTCTCTTTGATTGCCCCACAGGACTTTCCGAGGGAGTTCCCATTGTCGCACTCTGTTTTCAGAAGAAAGGAAACTGTTTCTTTAGAGTTTGTTCGAGTAAAGAGACACGATAACGATCAACGACCGCTTCAGGTTTAGTAATTATTTCACAGCATTTGCAATACAATTAAGTCATATAAATGTCGAAGATTAGTGGTGTTACTAGAGGGTAACAAATAAATTTAAATAAAAAAAAACAAACGAAGGAAGAGAAATCAAGGCGATAAATGTTCGATAAGAAAAAAGGAGCAAACCGTATCAGAGCACCCACCAACAAACCACACTAAATGCAACGTGTGAAGATAGAAACAGAAGCAACACAGGGAAAGACAAAAAGCTATATCCATCAGCGGCATCCTTTAACGGTCCGCAAACTTTTTATTTGGAGATAGTATTATTGTGAATGTGTTAGATCACGAAGGTTGACACCTGATCTTATGATTACAAGTTTCCTGCCCCCTAAATCAAATGTGAGGCAGCGTGGTGGAATCAGGCTCTCGTCAAAATAATCAAAATGAAGGAACTTGCATTTTTCCACAGGTTTGTGAAATTTTATTAAATTTTTGTTTTTTGGCTCAACACCTTTCATGCCCATTAAAGAGTTCATTTCTGTATGGATTTTTCTGAAAAACGTTGATTAAAACACAGAAAATGTAAATGTTCAGTTACCACGGACTCTTAAGCTAAGGAAATAACTAACCTTTAACGGCCATTTTCTCACTAATTTTACTTCTGAAAACAGGTGACCCCCTCCTCCTTCTTTCGTAAATATCTCAACCTGTATTCAAGATAAATGGATACTTAATTCATCCAAATAAAGACAGATGAACAAGCTTTAAGATGATACCAATAACTCTACATGCCCAAAAATTGACGAGAGCCTGATTCCACCACGCTGCCTCACAAATAAATGTTCAAAAGTGTGTTGATAGGGACGCAATACATTTACAATTGTGTACCAAAGTATCCAAACTTACTATCAGTGACTGTAAAGAAATTATCGCCGCAATAGTGAGTGTTGTCCTGGTTGAGAGAAAGTTTATCAAAACTGACACGTATCACGTGACTTGGTTCCGTTATCACTCTGAAGAGACAATCTCTCCTGCCGAAGACAAAAAGCAAACAGAAAAATACTTACTTGTGTCACGACGCAATAGAATCAGGCGCTTGTCAATTTTTGGGCATGGAAAAACAAATACGGGTACACACTTGTCTTGAATAGAATTCGTGATACTTGCGATTGGAGGACGTGAGGGTCGCCTGGTTTCAGAGGTAAAATAAGTGAGAAAATGACACTTAAGTTTGATGACTTACATTGCTTCAGAGTCCTTGGAAACTGAAAGTTAATATTTCTGTGCTTTTTATCACCTTTTCAGTAAAATCCACACAGAAATGTGTTTTTTGATGGACATAAAGGTGTTGAGTAAAAAAGCACAAAGTTGGATAAAAATTATAAAGTCGGCAGGAAAATGCTGGTATCTTCGATTTCATTACTTTGACGAGTGCCTGATTTCACCAAAATGCCTAGCATTTAGCCCATCTTCTAGGGGTATTGATACCGCATGATATAAGCTAAGACTTAAGTTACTGTTGTGAATGCCGGAAAATTATCAAATAAATAAAATGGAAAACGCCCAAGCTACCACAACCCTGCAGGGGATACCAGGTCACTGTGGCATTCATGGAAATGAAAAACCAGACGACTTAGCCAAAGAAGGAGCCAAAATGACCCAGTTTGAGGATGGCATGGATCTCTCAGATAAAAAACCCACCAATAAAACCTGCCATAAGAAATAGATGGAAAAGATTCCACCCTAATCATAACAGACGTGACCCCTACTACATGCTAAATAGAGCAGACCAGGTCACAATCTTTTGGCTCCGTTGTGGCCACGACAGACTCAAACACCATATGCACACTAAATTAAAAGTGGGAGAGTCCGCGATCTGTGAATGTGGACACGACCAAGAGGATGCCAACCATATCCTTCAGCACTGCCCGCGCTATGTCACCCTTCGTACACAGACGTGGCAGATTGTGACTCCTCTTGAGAGAAAGTTCTATGGCAGTCCCTCAGATTTGAAGCGGACTGCACCGTTTGTGCGCGACATCGGACTGACTGTCTAACTGCTGTCATCGAGAACGAGGAAGAAAGAAGAAGAATCAAATATGGTGAAAAGAAAAGAGAGAAACGGGAAAGTATTATATTTGGAGACTATTGAGAATTTCATGGAAAGAATTGAAATCAATTTAATGATATTATTATGGCGTTAAAAGCCATTGTGAGATGGTCATGATCGAAAAGCACAGGAAAAAAGGACAGGGGGAAGGGGTAGAAGAGGAGTCAGATCCTCCAAGGCACATATTTATCGTACGGTACCGTGGTGAAATCAAACGCTCATCAGAATAATGAAATCGGAGAAACCGACATTTTCGTTCTATTTTTGTTTGTTTATGGCTTAAAAGTTTGTATACCCATTTAAAAAACACATTTCTGTGTTGCTATTTTGGAAAAAAAAGTTGATGACAGAAAAAAAAGAAGAAAATTTGCAGTTTTTAAAGACATTCAAGCTTTGAAGGCCCCCAAACTTTGGCGGGAAATATTAATTCGCTAGTTTTACCTGTGACACGAGGCAACCCCAACCTCCTCCTGTCGCAAATATGTCGACTGCTATTCAGGTAGATGAATATTTTAAAAAATCAAAGCGAGGAAAATGAAGAGACTTTAAGATTATGCTAATAACGTCTAAAAAATTGACTAGTGTCTGATTCCATCACAATTCGTCTCAACAAGTTCGCTTTGTCTGTGTTCTCAACAAGTTCGCTTGGTCTGTGTCACATTTCCTCAAACGTTAAACCCCCCCCCTAAAAAAGCAACAAAAAACAACCCAAAACAACAACAACAAACAACAAAAACAAAATTAAAAAACCCAACCTCCAAAAAACCAACCCAACAAAAATAAAAAAAAATAAAAATGGACGCCAAAACAAAGCAACTCGGTGGATGACCAAAGTTGCCATGAGCTCAGAAAACAATGTTACACAAACAGACACTAGTACTTACGTACTATTAAATATTATAAATGTTCTGCCCAAAGCTAAGTAAACAATACAAGTCATACAAACACAAACACTTACTTATACTGCTCTGTCACAAACCTTTTTAAAACTACACAATACTACAAATACAGACGAAAACACTTACATTAACTTCTCTGTCATTAAATTTGTTACAGTTACAATTTCTGAACTGAGAGAAGCAAGCTCTTATAATGTATACATCAGTGTCAGTGGAATGATGGTTAGGCACTGCAGGGCAGGTTCCCAGCAGCCCATCACCTACATTATCTATTTTATTGTTATGTCGTTGGGGCAAACCAAAGAGGTTTTGGGGCGAACATATTATTATTATAAAAAAGAATACTAACTAAACTTACCTTATCTGCGTCCACGGAGGGAGCACATTATGAAGGGTGTAGCTCATTCCATAGTCAGTGAGATTAATCAAAGTATTTACACATCCACCTGATAGGAAGAAGTTATATGCACATTTTCAAACTCGGTGAGATTAGCAAAAAAAACCCCAAGCAAACAACAACAACAAACAAACAAAAAAACATCTCTACATTCAGCCGACCGGAAGGAATATAGTGCGCAGTGAGATTAATCAGAGCATCTCCACATACATTTGGTAGGAAGAAATAATATACACCGTTCAAGAATCGGGGAAATTATTTTCTTAAAAATCTCTGACAGGAAGTTTGTTTTGGTATGTGTTTTGCGGAGCTCGCAACTGCATAAGGTCATATGAGAGCGCGGGATACATCAACCATTTTCATTTGGTAGGAAATTTTGAATTCCGCCCAGGTGGCGGCCGAAGCCTACTCTTATCGATTTTCGACCACCAAGGGAGCTTTAACGTGCACAACGTGCACACGGTACCTCTGAGATTTTTCGCCCTTGTCCGAGAAGGCTAGGTGTAGATCTTTCCTACCAGAAGATCTGGGGTGTGGCTGAAAGATAGCAGTAAGAAGGAGCCATGGAGTAGCAGAAGAAAGGCTGCGGAATGGTCTTATGCAGTGTTGCGAGCGCCGTAAAACACTTAACAAAACAAAACCTAACCTTTTCCTGTTCAACTCGACCAGATACCTGCTGGTAAAAATGCAGCGCCAGACTTCTTCATGACCAGTCATGATCCTTCTTTTCCCCCCAAAAATCGTTAAGAGTAGACTGGGCTACGAAAAAATTGACGAATAACATCAAGTGGGCGTTGAATCAAGCATGAAATACATCGAGAGACAACAATAAATGAGGTGGTTTGGACATGTTATGAGAATGGGGCTACAACCACTAGCCTCCATGGCCTAAAGCGCGTGATTCGATGTCTTCAAGGCAAAAGGAAAGCCAAGAAAAAGAAGGATCGACCGAGTCAAGGTGAACCTCCAAGGAACAACCTGACTATTCAAACAGCGACACACCTGGCCAACGTCCGATAATAGCATCTTTTATCTACACCCCATGGTATAAGGGGGCAGAAAGAGTAAAAGAAAGGAAGTACTGACTCTAGGACATGAGTGTATATTTGAGTGAGTAAGCAAAGTACTGATACCCCCATTTTAATTCTAATAATAACAGTTTAGCCAAGGCTCTCTTTTTGAAAAAAAAAAGAAACAAAATAAAGAAAAAGGCTACAGATACGGTTCAAACATAACTAACTCTAAGCCCTTTCTGTAGCTGAAGCGTTCAACATGCTGCTAAAACAATTTTCATAAAAGGGGAGTGGAGCGTTTATTAACATTACCAGGAAAAGGGTTAATTTCCACAGCTTGACAAACAAACAACATCACTCACCGATTCCATATGTGAAGTTGAAACTAGGATAAGGATAATCAGACTCAAACTCAATTTTGAGGGCTTCAGCTCTGTACTCCTGAGATTTAGGTTTTTTATTACTATAACCGTTAAAACATGCCGTACTTTCTAAATGCCAGTTGTGGTTAGAACCTGTAGAGAAAAAGAAGTAGCTTGGTACAAATAAAGTCGTTTCTGCATTATTGTAATCAGTTTCTTTAGATCTCAATGTTTGTTTCTCAGCCACTTATTAGAACGAGTACTATTTCCCATTTTAGAACATGTTTGAGAGGAAGAGTTGTGGAATCAGGCTATCGTCAGTTTTTGGGCATGTAGAGTTATTGGTATTATCTTAAAGCTTGTTCACCTGTCTTTATTTGGATGAAAAAAGTATCCATTTATCTTGAATACAAGTCGAGATATTTGCAATTGAAGGAGGTGGGGGTCACCTGTTTTCAGAGGTAAAATTAGTGAGAAAATGGCCGCCAAGGATTAGTTATTTCCTTAGCTTAAGAGCCTGTTTAAACTGAAAATTTACATTTTTTGTGCCTTTAATCAACGTTTTTCAGAAAAATCCCCACAGAAATGAATTCTTTAATGGGCATGAAAGGTGTTTAGCCAAAAAAAAAAAAATTTGTTAAAAATTCACAAACCTGCGGAAAAATGCAGGTTTCTTCACTTTGATTATTCTGACGAGAGCCAGATTCCACCACGCAGCCTCACATTTGTAGCTCACTGTTCACTGTTTTACTTCATGTACATGCCCCGTGTTAGTTCATAATGCTACCATCTCAAGCTTTGGTTGTGAAGGAGAGAATGAGTGAATGAGTAAGTGGGGGAAGAAGAGTGACACACACACACACACACACACACACACACACACACACACACACACACACACACACACACATACACACGCACACACACGTACACACACGTACACACACACATACACACACACATGAACGCACACACACGTTCATACACTAAGACGGGACACATGCACAGATAGATAGATAGATAGATAGATAGATAGATAGATAGATAGATAGATAGATAGATAGATAGATAGAGAAAAAGATAGAGAGAAA